AGCTGCCACACACTGAATGTGCAAAGAAATATGAGTTCTGCACAATTATTGACGGCAAATTAAAAGTTTTCTGTTTGTTTTTTTCCCCCATTGTCAGAGAAAAAAATTAAAATCAGCTTTATACATAAAAGCAAATTTCCTGTTTATTCTTGAGATGAAAGTTCAGCAGGTCACGTGGGCTGTTTGGCTGGTGACCCCTGGGGGACCATGGGAAATTAGAGGAATGTCAGTCGGTCATGATTTTTTAAAATCTTTGTCTTTCAGTAACATACTATGTTTAACATGAACTGTACCTGATGTTTATGTATAAAATTTGAACACATGAGCTGTATTTATTACTCCTATCATTCTGCTGAATTCAGTGGAATAAATGTAGCTAGTGCTAACTGGACAAGCCACACTCAAAGGCTGCATATTAGCCACACTGTCCCATATTTTGGAGTCCTACTGTAACACTAGCGTACATATAAATAGTAACTAGGATAGCAGAAAATGCTAATCTGTTTTAGCCACATTTTGGCTTATTCTGTTCTACATTTCTTTGTCCAAATCAAATTTAAAATGTTGTAGACATCTGAACTATACCACTGTAGACATTTAAGAACACATTTCGTCTAACACGTTTTAATCAGAGTAATCATAACTGCTGCAAATCCAACCTGATTGTTGCCATGTTACAAACTTTTTAGGACTAAAGAGGTGAGTAGTTCTAGTGCAGATTAAAACAAGCCTCAGTGCTTGGATTTATTGCTCAGAATCATAAACATCCATCCATCCATCCATCCATCCATCCATTTTCTATACACTGCATAATCCTCACTAGGGTCGTGGGGGGCTGGAGTCTATCCCAGCTGACTTAGGGCGAGGACAGGGGACACCCTGGACAGGTCACCAGTCTATCACAGGGCTAGAACCATAAACATGTAAACTGAAATGTTTACAGTTTTATTTATTGTCAGTCGATGAATTCATGAGAACATAAAACCAATTTATTTAGTCTTTTTGAGGAGCTGGATGTGGAGTCGGAGCCACAAGTGTTGGTGATCATGATGTGAATGGTTTTTTGGAACACATTCTAACCAAAATTTTGGGATGTCGAAGGTCACTTTTAATTACATTTAACAACTTTTCTTCATAAGACTTCACATGAGTGACATGAAAGTCAGAGGAAGGACTCCGATATAAAAGTTTATTCTGAAAAAGCAAAAAGTCAGACCTAAATCTGATGTAGGACCTCATATGGAATTTGCCACAATCAGAATAGAAAAAATGAGCAAAAAATCCAATTTGGGCCACTTTTGCCTCCAGTCTGAATTAACGCTGCCACAGACAGTGCAAACAGACCAGATTACACCACAGATGCACATTGTTGCACACTTGTGATGTGCATGTGTGTTATATTATGGCTCAGGGTCTGTAGTCAGAATGTGGTTTGGATTGAGTTGCGTTCTAACCTTTCCTTGAGCTTTCTCATTATTTCCCGCCTTCTGGAAAACAAAACAAGGGCAGATTTCAGCCCTTAGGACTTTATTTTCTCTCTCTATCTTTTCATTCTTTCTGGCTGTGTCTGTTTTCCTGTCTCGTATTCTTTTTCCATCTCTCCTCTCCCTTTTTCTCTCCCTCGGTTGTGATGTGGCAGATCAGAATGCATGAGTCAGAATATTTGGGTCACTGAGCCACACAAGAAGCAAACACAGTCAGCTACTGTACAACACCCACACACACACACACACANACACACACACACACACACACACACACACACGCTGGGCTCGGCCTGTTGCTCCACCCAAAATCTAACTCCAGAAATTGTTCTAAAACCACATCATTGAGTATTTGAGTGTCCTCTTTCATGGGGAGCAGAAGCTATGCTTAACTTATGTCATAATAAAGTTTTCATGGCAGTAAAATGTAACAGAACAAACAGAAAATGAAGCCGCTTAAAGCTTCAGTTTATTTATAGGCACCTTGACTGCTGCTGAAAACAGAAATCTTGATTTTAAAAAATGACACTGATCAGCCACAACATTGTTACAACCCAACGTTCTGCTTGGGTCCTGGGATTCAGGTGGATGTCACATTAAATGGCAGTACCAATTTAAAGCTTGTTCCATCATAGCAAAAACAAGCTCAGATGGCCTCCACCAACAGGACAATACCACCCACCACACTGGAGAAACTGCTCAGAAACTGCTTGAGGAACACGACCAAGAGCTCAGGGCATTGCTTTGGTTTCCAGACTGGCCAATCAAGCATTTCTGGGATGCACTGGAAGAAGCTCCATCACACGGAAACCCCACCCCGATGCCCACAGGGCCCAAAGGATCTGGTGCCAACATCGTCAAAATACAACAGGACAGCCCCATAAGTCCTGCGTCCATGCTGTGCTATCAACACAATAAGAACCAGATGGTTTTAATGTTGTATCTGATCAGTGCAGGGTCACTTAGTTCAGTCATCTCTTTTTCTCTTGATCTTAGCCGTCAAATGAAATCATACATTTGTTCAAGACTATTTAATGTGAATTTGGTGCGCTGGTAAATGTTTACAGCAGCGGCATGTCATATGTGGGATTAAGGTTTGGCAGTGTCAGCCTGCTTGTCAGTTCCTGGTCAGTTTCTCAGATAAGCAGCTGAAACGTTTACAACACGACTGTCATTTAAAATCACATGACTGAGTTGCACAAGTACATCACGGTAAGATAGCAAGAGATAAAGCCTGTTAATTAAAAATATAAACACAAAGGAATGCCTGAATTGGGTCAACCCTCTCACCTCCACATTCTTTTGACTGAGCAGGAAAACTGTGTGTGCGTTTGAGCGAGTTATCAGGCCTCTCCCTGCACTCCTTCATAAAACAACAAGCCTAATCTGTCGCTCCCTGATGAAAAGGCTTTTTATGGCGTCTAAACCAATCTGTTCGCAGCTATCTGACACACCCGACAGTCACATCAACTTACTCACCTTGACCTACATAGCGGTGCGCTCACACATACTCTGTCTACAGGCATCCTTATGTTGCTGTTTTACTCAATGCAACACTTCACTGACATTCTTTCTCAAACTCTAGAAAAAAATAATTCTAACCTCTGTCCACATGAAACAACAATCCCTGTCTGAGTTTCTTCTGTGAACATTTGAAATATTTAATCCACTTGCACGTGATTCCTGTCAATCAAATACCAGAAAACCAATCAGTATTTTCTTTTTCAATTTAGCGACAAGGGTAAATGACACCCCACAAGAAAAATATATTATCAAGACTATAGGTTAAGAAGAGAGTAAATACGTAATTGAACGCCAACATTTTGGCTGTTGAACTGTTTAAGCAAAGCTTTTCCAGGAGCGTATTTTCAAGAAACACCTACGCTGTGTAGGAATAAGATAACAGAGACACTATAACCCACACACACGTCTGGCACATGTCCACCTGCTGCACATGCACACTGTGACACATGGACCGAGCTCAGGTTGCACAACACAGAGCTGCTGCAGCCTCACAGAAAATGTTTGCATATCTCTATACCTGGGAGGGGCGTCAAGATACGGCAGGGTGACAGGTGTGTGAAGGTGAGCAGTTTTTGCACAGAGCAAGGACTGTGGAATTCTCATGGCTGCAGTCAGAGCAAAGCCAGCTTCCAACCTTACAGAGGGTTCTATCAGGCTAAATGCAATTATCTTGAGTTTTTTTTTTTTGTCAAGCAGCTAAATTCACATCACATTTACAGCATCATCAGGATCGACTGAATAGCCATGCCCTTGTTAATATAGCTGTATAACAAACAGCAGCAGAGAGAAGGAATGCTGCTTGGATATAATGAGAGCAAGGCCAGTTGCAGAGGCTAATGGCAATACTGTGTGATTAAGCAATGCTGTTGTTGGCCCGCTATTTGTGGTAGCTCTCATAATTCTTGCTTTCCACCCTCCCTGTGCTAAAGCCAATGGTGTAAAATAAGGACATGCCTCAATAATTGCAGCAGTGTTGAATGCGATGAGGAAAAGGTGGAATTAGTGAGTAAGTAAAAACAGGTGTCATTTACAGGAAGACGATTACAATGATTGTCCTTCACGTAGAAGCTTCGACAGGCTGGAGTGGATAGGCCAACGCTGGTTCTTTTTATACGTTCATTTGTGGAGAATAATCTTATTTGCTGCTTTATTGCTTGCTTTTCATGTCCATGCTGTTCATCTGACATGAGTTAGCCTTCATGTCTGAATGAGCTGTCTGCTCACTTTTACAAAAAAAATTGTGGTGTTACGAGGTCATAGCACAAGTCTAAACTGCATGATGTTGCGTTCATGGATATGCACGCGCAAGCAACGTACTGTGAGGACAATGTCACATCTGTTCATAACTGAAATATCCAGAATCATAAAACTGTACTGTGAAAAAGCCAGATTATAAGAGCTCAGACTATTAAAACTGACCAAATAACGGATGTAATCCAGGTTTTGACAAAGCAGGAGCTAAAGTCCAGTTTGTTGCTTTCAGGTGTTTGTAGGAGTCTGTCCTCTAAGTTTATTAAATACCCGCAGCATGAAACAGCAAATAATCCATACGAACAATATTCAAAGAGAGAGAGCAGAGCAGATTTATACATGTCAGACAAAAGTGCCAATTCATTATAATCTCTGACATGGAGATAGGATCAATCAGGATCAGATAGTGAGTCACGCTGTGTACTTTCCCTCATCACAGTTTATAAACTGTATCAGGGGTTTCCCAATCCTGGTCCTTGAGAGCCCCTATCCAGCATGTTTTAGATGTTTTCCTCTTCCAACACACCTGATTCACATGATCAGGATCGTTATCAGGCTTCTGCAGAGCTTGATGATGAGCTGATGATGTGTTGGAAGAGGGAAACATCTAAAACATGCTGGATAGGGGCTCTCGAGGACCAGGATTGGGCACCCCTGAACTATATCATTTGTTACGTAGTCATCACCCTTTGACTCCTGAGGGCTGTACTATGAAGAAAGTGAAGAGGGTTATTGAGGTACGTCAAACCTAAGTCATAGTTTTTAGGGTCACAAAGGCTTTTAACCTGCCAGATCTCCATGGCAACTTATGCTGTGGAGCTATCCTGGCGGGGAGCAGGTTATGTTCAGAGTTCTAGATTCAAATAATTTTCATTTTTTTAAATTTAAATCGTCTAGAAAGAGCGTCTCCCTTTAAACAAATCTTGTCCTGGTGATTCTTTGAGTGATACAGATTCTCAGCTGACGGAATGTATTTTATCTGCAAACATGTTGAGTTCACTGAATGAAGCCGTGCAGCTACAGCATCGCACACTGTATACATCAGTGTGTCAAATGCACTTCAATACAATATCATGTTTGAATATATGAAGTTTACAGTTTGACAGGTTTAATGTGCAGCTTTCAGTGAGAAATAAGCAGCTGCATTGATCAGTAAAATAAATACATGAACACATTCAACAGATTTCTACCAGCATTCCTGTCTCGCATCATTTACAGTCGCAGCTCTTTTTACCACCACACAGTTTTGTATTTCTCATTGTTCTCCATCATGACAACCTGTTGACGTAAGCAGCTGCACACAATTGTTTAATTTTGTACGCAAGAGTCACATGATGCGTGAAGCGGCCTCTTTTATGTGAACGTGCACAGAGTCTGAAGCAGAAAGTCTGAGTTGACAAAGAAAGTTGATAAGCACCTTCATGATACCTGTTATCTCTGACTGGGGCTTTAGTTTTTGTTGAGCTGACTTACACAAAGAAAGCCTGACTATGTCAAACCTGCATCGTAGTACAGCCCTCTGATCTTCATCACAGCTTTCAGGATATTTTTAAAAATTATTTTACTGTTGATAAGGTAGTAGTTAGATTATTATCACGCATTGACCAAATTGGTGGTCCAGCAAAAAAATGGTAACCAAGCTAACCATTTGCAGGAAGCAGATGCTTGTGCATATAGCCTGGTGGATAAAACAAATGTGTTGAAACTCTCTAGGAGTTTAAAGCGGACCTAATTGGTTTTACAAGTCTGTTTACAAGTATTGAGGCATACTACTGATTTTAACTCACTGTCCTGAATAGGCATCAAGTACAGCTTTTGGTTTTATACCTAACTCTAGTATGACACTCTGTTTGACCATCAATAACTGTAATTCCCAGGTCGCTTATAGAGTTCTTCAAGTGGCCATTTATTATTCTCTACATGTTACCTTGAGGTCAAATTTTTCAGAAGTACCATATCTGTTTTTATGCAGATGATTCCCACATCTATCTTTCGTTTGATTCTGACAACACAACACGGTGGGGTAAAATACTAAATTGTCTTACAAATGTGAAAAACTGGCTTTGAAAGAACTGTTTTACCATTATGTTTTAATCTCTCGTTATCGCTGTAATGTCTTCTTTTATTTATGGTCATTTATACAATAACTGATTATAACTTTTTTGCTTTTGTCTTTGAAAGGTATTATCAGTAAAGTTATTATCAGAAAAAAAGCTAGCCTTCAGTGGCCGAGGGTGCCTATAAATTTACTCAGGTAACTACAAAATAATCTAGAGGTGTGCTGTTAAAGATGTTAAACAGGTCACAGACGCCAGGTAAGGTCAAATGTTACTGACTGACGTGTCAGGCTACGTTAGCAACTACTAGCAAAACACAGCTATTATAAACCACTGTGCACTACTTTGGTTTCTCATAGACGCGCAGTTCCGTGAGTTACAGTAACAACAGTTAGTCGTAAGATAAAAATCTAGGGCGGTCCTTATAGAAAACTGTAACAGTCATCCATTGTGTGTACTCCAGTGAATCCATCTCATACTGTACACTCAAGTTCTTTGTAAGTGTAGAAGAAAAACTGCAGACTTCCAACTCTCATTTTCACTTTTAATTACATATTATAAAAGTGCTTTCCTTTAAATTTCACAAATTCAAATGAACAAAGAATAAAAGACTAAAATAACTTATGATACAATAACAAAAATTATTTACATTTAAAAAAATCTGTACAACGCTTAAAACACAAAGAGAGAGACAGAGGAAAAAAAAAACATTACAGCCCCGACTGTAGCCAGGGGGAGGTAGCTTTGCTAAGTTAACAAAAATGAAGAAAGAAATCATCCCTGCTGTCTTGTTAAAACCTCACTGCATCCTCAGAAGGCAGTTATCTGTCTGTGAACCACTACAAAGTGTAAAATTAAACAAAGATTAGGAGAAACAAAGGATTATAAGCTTCCCTGAAAAACTAGCTGTTGTTGAAAGATAACGACATTTTAACCAGACAGCAACATAATCAAACAGGAGTCCTGAACAAAATACATTTCAAGGCAAAACAGGTTCTTAACATACCAAACACCTCGATTCTCATTCCTACAAACCAGGGTCTGTTCAAGTCTTTTCAGACTCAAGGAGGAAGAACTCTTAATATAAAACACGATGCATTAAGACATTTGACACACATGCGCCAATGTTTTGCCATTTGCTATTTTCATTAACATAAACAGCACATTAATGGACAACAGTGGCAAGTACAAGTTCTACAAAAACACCTGATGTTGAACCAATCAGGCTCCTGGTGAACACATACAGCCATAAATGTTACTTTGTACAGTCTTAAAACATGACTTTGTGTTACAGCTCTGTTCAGGGGCTGCTTTGTGTCCACATGAGTTCACCTGGACACAAAACAATCCCAGTGAAAGCTGTTCATCTTTTGAAACGGGAATGTTGGTCAAAGTCAGTGGCCCTGGTTATTGTAAAAAGCAATTTGATGTACAAAAGATTTGTCGGCATATCTGTGAACAAAGTGGGACAAATCTGTAGCTGAAAAATAAGATACTCAAGGTCCACCTGAAAAAAATGTCTAGTTGAGGGAAAATTTGATCCTGATTACTCTTCGCAAGTGTACAACAAGGGCCACCGACTAATGAATCACAATGATATTTATTTACTGACACATAGGGAAGAGTATTCCATGAGTAACCAGACTTAACTGTCACAGTATTGCTGCTGTTGCAGCTTCCTCCAACCACAGCCTTTAAATAATATGCCACGACATTGCTGCTCTGTTTCAAACATGCAAGAATAAAATGCTGTGAAGAGGTTTTCTGTCCCAACTTTGGCTGATTTGCTACGGTTGCACGGCTCACAGTTCACCGTCCAGTTCGCTCTCCTCAAAACCTGAATGCTGTTTAATATGGCTACCTTTGAACCCAAAACGATTCCTTACCGACATCAACACATGAGAAATCACGCACACATTCAAACACTGAGGGAGTAAACTGATGGTGAACTGAACTGAGGCCGAACATTGCTATGTCAACAGTATCAAACCTGGTCTATACAGTATTGTCATTAATATATACTACCCTGGTAACAGAGTGGCGTTGGGCCCATGGGTCCGCCTGAGGCCAGACAGGCTGAACACACACTGAAGAACCTTCATCCTGATCAAACACAAAGGCATTAGAACTGGAATTTTACAGATGTACAGTTGTCCAAATAACTTCAAAGCCACCATAAAACACCTGTCAGAGTGGAGGGATCACTGGTTAATATGGCTATAAGACATCCTGAAATCAAGATTCAAGTTTCATTCAACTACTGAACACTGAGCTACTGTGGCTTCTCGTTACTTGGCCCAACAGGAACTTCTGGCTTTGTGTCATTTAAACCCATGCCATTTGGCATCCCCAAAGTAAAGACTCAGATGTAATGAACCAAAAAACAAATAATATCGTTCTTGTCTTTCAGTGTGCATTCAGCCAAAACAAACAAACAAAAAACAACAAAAAATCTGCAAACTCCATCTTTCTTTAACTTTGAAAAGCAACCTACGCTCTACAACAGTCAGCAGTCAAGGCATGAGAATGATCAACTCTGAGGCAATGAGTGTGTTGTGTTCTTTGTCCAGGGAAACGGTGTGCGTGTGTGAGTATACACAGTCCGGACCTATTGTTACCATAAAGTCTTTGAAATGTCAAACTTTGTGTGCTCTTTACAGCATGATGCGCCATCCTTTATCCCTACCCATCCCCCTGTCTTTGTACAAAGTCTTTTCCCCTGTCCACCCTCACTCTCCCACAATGTCTCTTAACACCTAAGCTTCATTAGCTGCGGAGCGCTGCTAGCCTGGCTTTCAGCTCTTCCTGTTTGGCTTTAAGTTTGTCTCTCTTGGCTTGCAGTCTGTGGCCCTCACCCTCCAGGCCATAGATGCAGTCCCTGGCCTTCTTTAGAATCACCACCTTGGATGCCTTGTCATTGTGTGAAAGCTCAGGCACATGGTCGCGCAGGCGCATGAAGCAGTTCTTTAGCTCATTGCGGCGCTGCCGCTCCATCACGTTGTGAGTCCGTCGCCGCTCCTCCTCATCCTCGGTCTCTGTTGAGTTTCGTGACGAGTGGTGGTACCGCGAAGAGGACGACGAAGAAGAAGATGAAGAGCTGCGGGAAGAGTGGTGGAAGCGCAACGAGCTGTCACTCCCTCTTGAGCGTTTGTTGGATGACGGTGGTGGCGAGGCAGGGCAAGGGGCAGCGTAGTTGTGCTGCAGCTGGATCTCAATGTGGTGGCGCTGGAGAGCCCGCTGCTCTTCTTGCTTCTGCTGGCGAACAGCCAGGTCAGCCAATGAGGGCAGGGGGGAAGGGCTGGAGGGATGGCGCACAACCGTCACCACGTCGATTTCCTCTTCTGTCAGAGAAAAAGAAAAAAGAGGCAGGTTAGATGAGATTTTTTGGTCCAACCCTGTGTTCTGATCCTTGAGTTATGTGCTTTGACGACATTTCAGAGTAGTGCTGACACCAAAAACATAACTGTGTAGACATTGCACACAGCACACCATATGGGCTCAGCTTACACAGTCAGTAGTGAAAATCTGTCCTCCTACTGTAAACAGTCATAAATGTATAGTTTACTGCTTGTAACAGTAAATATAACAAGTGTTACAGTGCTTGAAACTGACTTCAATCAAATTTAAAAACTCAAAAAAGTAAAAGTAACCAAGTTTAAACAATAAGAAACCCTCTCAAAGACAATAAATGCCGGTCTGTCATTTCACTTCTGGTTTACAGCCCGGGACGCTGCAGGGCTCAAGTCGGTAAAATGACTCATTACAAGTTAATGGACGGAGCCACAACTGTTACCACTGAACATGAGTCACACACTCACACACAGTCAATTATCTCCCCGAAAAGCTTTCATCTACTCATGTCAGTCAACAGCTAAGCCCCACCCACGCCTCAGTAACATCCTCCAGTCATAAAGGCTTCTGCAGATTACAGGTGGGCGGCTGGCTTACAGATAAGCAGAGCGCAAAGAACAGCTTGGGCTCAGTGCCACTAAACATTAACAGCAAACTATCAATGAGATGCCGGTGAAGCTGTTCTGGGCAAGGACTGTTTATACTGATAAGTGGCATAATAACGACGCAGAAATGAGACTAAAGTTTGACCTGATTATCAGCACTAAAGCTTAAAACACAAGATGAATTTAAAAAGGCGGCATTTTGGTAAAATAAAGTCCCAACAAAGATCACACACAACAATTCCACATCTGATGGCTGAACTTCAAACTATGAGTGAAATTATGAATGTAAAATGAGGATGAGTTTTAAACTCACCAGAGTCACTGGATGAATAGGTGGACAACTCGCCACCGGTTGAGCCATAGTCTGATGTGGCCTCGCTTCGCTCCTGAGTGTCAACCAGGTTCTGGCAGTCGAGCGTGGAACCGGCGATCTCCTCAAAGATGCTGGTGTCGATGTCTGACAGCAGCGGGCTGGAGCCGAGCATGGTGGAGACCAGCTTCTCCTCCAGACTCTTGTCTGATAAGCACTGCCACAGGCAGTCCTCGCCACCCTCGTCCAGAGGGGAGCAGGGCTGGCTGGGCTCGCCCTCCTTCTCTGTAGCATCAGAGTGGAAAAAGTCGCAGTTCCAGTTGAGCTGCATGTCGTGGTCCTCCAGCAGAATGTCCGACACGTAGCTCAGCTGGTCCTCCTTGGACAGGGGCTTGCTGCCACACAGCCCAGTCTTCATGGGGGGAGACTGAGGGGGTGTCGGCAGCGACTGGAGGTCCTTCATCAAACTCTGGCAGAACTCATCGTCAAACAGCAGTGGCTCCGTGTAAAGCCAGTCCTGCGACTGAGCGAAACTTTGCAACATGTTTGCAGAACCTGGGAGAATAATAAAAAATCACAACAGAAAAAATAAATAAAATCAGAGAGGTAGAGGAGCTTATAAAGTTAAAATCCAGAGAAGCTGATCCAGTAGTGTTTTAAAAGCAGCGCAGCGTAAAACAGGAGTAAATCCCGAGAGCAGCAGCACGTGCTGTAGTGAAAGTTTAAACCAGTTTCTCCACACTGAGCCCCCAACCAGCAGTGTGCCACCTTTTATCTGTGTTTACATCACTGTAGCCCCGCCCCGCTGCTCCTGGGGAGGCCCGTAAATCACCCCAAAGATTAACACCCCCTGCCCATGACATCATAGGAACAGCTGGGAGAGACAGCAGCAGAAACTCAACACCTCTTTTTCACAATTCACATTTTTCTTTCCCTGAAAGTTAATAAAAACCACTGTTTTAAAAAAAAAGCCCATCTGCCTGCTGCTGACATGGAAAACAATACTTCACAGAAAAAAGATGGATGGTTTTTGCTTCTTCTTTTTTTGTTACTCAACACTTCTAACCTCTGCTCCTGTTTCACACACACAACCAAACACTTGAGCTTCCCTACAGAAAATCACTTTCACAACTTCATTCAGAAAAAAAAAAGAACTACTTTGCTCAGCAGAAAGCCTGAGGGGATACTGTATGATGACATTAACCAGTCAGTACATGCTGGCTTATTTCTGCTGCTATAAATCACTGTTCACAACCACAAAAACTTTAAAATATCACCCTCAAAAAATGCATTTATCATTAAACAAACACAACTGGAGTAGGAGGAGACTGAGAGGCAGCTCTATTCTGAGGGAAGGGAGAGCCTCTAATATAATATTCCTATGAGGTCTGATGGTATGTGCATGTATAGCAGGCTGTGTTGGAGAACAAAGCAGCAGTGTGTGTGTTGCAGACACACTCTGGGAGTTAAAGGCTCCCTTTCTTTACCATTACAGCCTGGGAAACCTAAGCCAAAACTTAAATGCAGACCAGTCTGCACCGTGACAAGACAGTAAAATAAGTCATTAGTGGTGTTTATGATGGTATTGACCACAGTCATCACCACGCGAACGAAGCATGGAAGCATTTGATTAAAATTATCTGCAACCAAGCACAGCTGGTAGGTGCAAAAAAAACAAAAACAAAAAATAATACTAATTTCTGCGTGAGCTTTTAGTTCAGATTTGCTACTGCCGCCAGGTCAGTGAATGCATCACGCTCAGTTTAACTGTTTATATTACACAAGAACATCATGTGCCATGATCTTTAGTTACGTTTCTCAAAGTGACGCCTGCACTAAAACAAAATTCAGCATGCAACAATTAATTCAGGTGTGAAATATCAACGTAAAAGCTCCCAAGACTCCAAAGGCTGACCGTCGGGGAGGGTCATTTAAACTCCGCATGGGTCGAGCAGCGCCGGCTCTCCACGTGAAACCCGGCAGTCATTTTATTTATTTATTTACATTTCAAAGTACAATTTGAACCACAAATACAAAAAAAGACAGACACAAAAAGCGTTTAGCCTGAGTCTAGCAACTGTACGAGGTGCTACACATGTAAGTGAGCGGACATTAACCCCAGATCACCCCATTCATACCTTTAATCGTCCTTAAAGGGGAAGGAATTCAAAACGAAGAAAAACGAAGAAATGTCCGAAATATCCAACCAAGTCCAGAGCGAGATAACAAACTGCAGATGTCTGTTTCAGTAGAACTTTCTTCGTGTAAAATTAAAGTTAGAACAGGGCAGCATTGTGCGTATGTCCGTTTTCTGTTTTTTTTCCCGTCTCCTTCTCCTCCTCCGCTACTATCAGACAGAGTAGGTGTGGCCGTCAGGGTCGCTCAGTTTATATATCCGCGACGCGACGTTATCCTTCCGCCGGTGCCAAACTCGCGCCAAAACGTCAAAACCAAACAAGCCAACGTTGGTGTTTGAACCCACCGCCTGTTTATGTGCCGCCGGTCGCCGGTTCGATTTAGTCCTTGCGGAAAAAACACAGGCAGCGGCGAGATCCAGGAATATAGTCGAAGTCGGGGACTACGGTGTCTCCCCCCCTCCCTCCGCGATGCGCGGAGTGATACGACGCAGGGAGGGATTCCAGGAAAATGGTGGCGGGTAAAAGTTGGGACAGTAACACACGTGGAGAAGCCGGGTGTCTTACTGCCCGTCTGTCTGTCTGTCTGTCTGCCTGTCTGTCCTGCCTCAGTGCGTCAGTGGGGGAGCGCAGACTACATACATCTATTTAAATCGTTTATTTCAAGCTGTATAAATACAAAAAAAAAAAAAAAAAAGCTAGCAATCTTGTGATTCACGTATGATTCAATGCAGGAAAACAAAACAAAAAAAACAACTTTAATCTCTCATTAGTGGGGAACGTAGTGAGTTCAGTAACACGGGTTAGTGCTTTTACATCATGTATGTTTTCCTTCCCTTGCAGTTGTAAGTGCAGACAATATGAGGCTGACAGACAGACAGTCAGACAGACAGGCTGGATGCTTTCAGAGCCACGTTGTCCTGAGATTCCAACTCTTGCAGGGGTGTTTCACCATCTATCTGCTTCCCCAACTCCTCCTCCTCATGCTGCTGCTGCTGCTGCCACTACTACTATTACTACAACCCCAAGTGTGCTATCTCCAACTGTCACACACACAGTTTTAAAGCACAGCACTGTCAGCTTGTGCACGGGGTAGTAAGTTACGTTTTAAAGCACATCAGTGTATTTGTTGCCGAAAATATGTACTTTTCCATTCACTTGGGGCATATTTTACAAGTACATATATTTACACATTTTTACAATATTACCCTGTTTGCATCATACAATCTAACAAATTGCACAAATTCATTATTTGTCAATATTTTTCAAAGACACTTCACATGGATAAACTATGCATACAACATATTTATTTTTTAATCATATTTTCTTTGTTTTGTTTTTTTTAAGTAAATGGGTGAAAGGACTGCACGCTGGGATGAATGAAACTCCAGGCAGCCCGGCTCCGATACCGCAGTCCTCCCTCCGCCTCCTTCGCTCCCCTTCGCTGCTCCCGTGCACGTTACATAACGGACAAGGATTCGCCGGTACACGTGCGGGCAGGTCGGCCAATCAGAGCGCGAGTCGGGACCGGTTCACGTGAGTTCTCAGCAAGCCCCAAGAAATCTTGTAACAAGAGATCACAGTCCTCACAGCGACCATATACATTCAATAATATCCAGCTCTTTAAATAGGCGCATGTCTGATATGATATTTCACCTGAGGTCAAGCTGTTTGATATCCACACAATATACATTTACTACATCTTTATTATTATATAGCTATATATATATATGTATATATTCTAATGAGCTGTAATCAAAGCTAATTAAAGCCAATCAAAATGCATGAAGTCTGGTCTGCAGTCATCAAAAAGGCCCATAGATTAAGCTCATTTACACCCCTTGGTGTACTCACACATGTAAATCAACAGCTCTGTTTTGGTCATTGTTATTCATGCAGGTCCTCTCTGCATGCCTTCTGCACTTTTAAAAAATAATGACAGCATTGTTGGTGGTCAGTCACATGGAAAGTCCTTTTGCTAAGTGTGAAAATGCATGAGACACTTCATCAAACAGGGGAGGGACGCAGCACAAAAAGCCACAGAGGCAACAACAACAACAAAAACACTGCTCTGTATATGAAAATGTGTGCTGTTCCACATGTAGAGGATGGGGGGTTTCTGTGTGTAGCAGCTGATGTAGGGCGGATCGCAGCAGCAGAACAGAACATTTTGTAATAGCAGAGACCAGACACAAAGAGGAGGGAGCTGAGTGAAGCAAATAAGTGGGTTAATGTGCCACCTACAGGCCAACTGGCAGACTGACTGACTGGCCTGGTTTCTGCTCTGAATACTAAACCTCCTGGCTTAGCTGACTCACTGCTTTAAACTGTTCACTGCTTGAAATTTCTGACCAACTAGTTAATTCTGGGATTTCCAAATTGTTTCACACAAATCCCACCCACCAAACACACCTGCTTTACATCATAAAACCTTTGTTATTTCACGTCTGAGTGAAATCAGCTGATCTCTTGTTATTAGCCTTGTTTTAACAACTTGTGTTGACTTAAAACTGACACATGCATCAACAAATTAATAACAAGCTTAGATTTTATGTATTAGAAGTATTAAGTAATGAGCATATCACAAGTTGTGGATTCTATGAATAACTCCCAGACTTCCTAGCAGATGATGTGGTTGGTTTAACTTTTCAGAAACACCTTCATCTTACAGACACACTGGGCAGATGAGTCAGGGGACTTTTCTCTGAACAAGAAAGAAAGGAAAAATCAACTGTCAGTTTCGTGTCATGTCTGCATTTATGTAGAGCGCAGATGTCGGGATTTTGGAAAAGTAATGAGTTGTCTTACATGTCGATAAGATAATCCTTTATTAATGAACAGGGAAATATGCAGGGTTACAGCAGAAAGGGGGATAGTGCAAAAATGTAGGGACATCAGAAGAAACATACACAAGTGCTGTTGATATTGTACAGGTGCTGCACAGTGGCTCAGGGGTTAGCACCGTCGCCTCACAGCT